TAGGCAGATCGTTTTGGATCAGCACTACACTTGTGGATAGACACATTTCCTTCGATGCATTTCCTTCAAAAGATCGCATTCTGCTTGTGTCTTCTCACAATTAGAAATATATACCACACTATTTGAGACAGAGTTGTATTCACAGTACCCACATTCTACCTTCAGCTCATCTTCAGATACAACCGCCTTTACAACGCACTTTCCATCCATACAGATATAAGTAAACATGTCTTTGCATCTGCTATCTACTTCCTTTATTGTTTCAGTGCATTCAATGTCAACATAATATGCATTTCCAGTGGTTTCATTGCATTTCTGGTATTGACACCCAGAGATAGTCAAATCCTCCTTACATCTCGATACAACACATTTCGGAGGGTCTTGGGTGTAATCGCATATTTCGTTCTTATTGCTATCGCAATTGTTATCGCCTTCTTTCTTCTCGCAGAAGCATTTATTGTTCGTCGTCGCGTTACAATAACAGATTGATTCTCCAGATGCTCCGCCTCCACATGAAGAGAATGTATCACAACTTAATCTGTTCTCACATTGTCCAGTCTTTTCATTGCATTTCGCGATATAGCAATCCATCTCAATATATGGCATTGTTTTTACACATTCCTTTGGTTCGACAGAGCATTCCAGATTTGCATTACACTTGTACTGTTCACACTTTGAGTTTTTGTTTGGGCATTTCTCCTTTCCTCTTTGGTCTTTAATGCAGTACCCAGAATTAACATCACATTTATAACTCCAACAATATCCGTCTTGTGAGGGGGAGTCGTCCAAAGGGCAGTTATCCACTATTTGGCACAATCCACTATCACCATTTGGACAAGTTGTTGTTTGGCAATCAACTTTGGGCTCACAAGAAGTGTTGTACCTGCTCACAACACACCCCTCCATATCTTTACAGATATAATCACCAACACAATTTGATGGGCAAGTGACTTTCTCCTTTGGGTTATATGGTGGCCAAGGTTCGCACGACCCACTGTTTGTGTTACAGTATGTATAGAAACAGTCGTTTTCACAACACATTGGACATGTGCACCGATTCTTGGCATCGCAAAAGCCGTTGCATTTGTCTCTGTCACATCTCTCTGTCAAATTTGCTCTTATACCAACAAAGGCATCGTAAATGTTCGTTTTGACTTCTTTTGGATCGTTAAACTCATGGAAGTGCTGACCAAGTGAAACAAGACTTTTCAGTTGCAAGGTCATTGATGCAGAATTTTGTCTGTTAAAAGATACAACATGTACACTTATATTGTTTCTGTCAAACTCAGAGCCCGCGTTAAAAACCCTTGACAAACCTTGATCGGATAATACTAAAATAGTCCCGCGTTTGATTGACTTGTCTTTGACTTTTGGTTCCAAGTATCTTTTAGCAGCAATGACCAATGCATCCACCTTACCAGAGGATGCTTCAATTGAACTTAACAATTCGTAATTCAAGTCTTTTGTATTAACAGTTTGAGTTGCAAAAGCTTCACCTTTCAAATAGTAAATTGTCGTCTTTGGAGCCGTTTTAAGTTCTGAAAATGAAGAAAAACTGTTCTGAACATCCTTAATGATCGACTTATCTGCAATTCCATAGACTAGAGCAATTTCAGAGAGTACGTTGTTAGGAGTGAAGCTTTTGATGCATTTGTCCGTAGTGTTTGAAGTGTATTGTTTCACAAATTCATTCCATT